TGGTCGAATATGACATAGAGTCAGGTCATGGTAGTTTGAAGTCAGAAGTTTATTTATATTTATTTCAAATGGCAGGCGTTATGATAGCTATCATTAGCCATTTAGCTGACTTCGGGCTTCACAGAAGGAAGGTTCATCAAAATAGCAGAAAGTCGAGGGGTGGGGATCAGAAGAACGATTCACAGATGTAAAAGAGGCAGACAGACACAAAGGTAGAGAATAAGGTAAGATCCGTACTGTGAAAGGGGTCGAATATGACAAGCAGTCAGGCCATGGTAGTTTGAAGTGAGAAGTCAACTGCCGGTTAATAGACTTTTTTGGCGTATGAGTATACGTTGCCCAGGGCGCACACCCCTTCCTTTCGTAATGTTAACTAAACTATTTTTACAATTCACATGGTCTCAATTACTCTCTAAGTTTATCCAAACAAATTCACATTGAAAATGCTTGAGGAAAGACGAGGTTAGTTATTAAAGTGAAATATGGGTATTTTCTTTCATAATGCACCAGATCTGAGTGAGCTTTGAATGCATTGTCATTTACAGCAGAAGTTTTCTACATGCAATTTAAGAGTTATTATTTGATAAAATTAGACGCATTTCTCTTGTTATAAACAGCCATAGTAGGGTTTTCAAAGATATTCGTAAACCCAGATAGGTAATAAATGTGAGGACATCGATTGCTCCCATACAATCAGATATGCTTGTAGAGTCACTGTGTGAATATCAGACTTAATTTGCAAAATTTTATAAAGTGTCAAGTTTATTATTTTTCTATACATCTGGTCGAGACATCTTCATAATGTACTCTAAAATGGTTTTCATTAAGAAAAGCCATATTGGAGTCATTTTCTTAAGCAATTTTGTATTGACTTTACAAATGTGCCCCTCATTCAATTTTTTTTCCTAAAGCAAATGGTTGCCTGCAGCTCTACTATTACTCCTCGGTCTTCTTTCAAAGGAAGTCAAGACTTTCCTCAAAAGCAACGAGCACCTGTCAAACTCAGATATATTTTTGCCAGTTGCAAGTCACCACTCCCAGTGGATATAGGGAAGGGTGTGAATTCACAAGCTACAACACCCCTACCTCCACCACCACCACCACTTCAAAAAGCCAAATCGTTTTTTACGGATCCCGATGTCTCATTTGAGGAGTCCGCTGAAGGCTTGGGTCTTCACATTCCTGTAAGATTTCGTTTTATTTGATTGAATTTAGTTGACTCATTAAAAACCGTTGATAGAAAAGCTTATGCAATTATGCTCGAGTTGGGAAGGTAAGTTGCTTATCTCATTTAATCCATATGCCAATAGTCCTTTCTTGAATGTAAGCTAAAATTCGACGTCATAACGCCTCATGTTTTCCTTCCAAAAAACGTAAGACTATATTGCGAAACTATTTCTTTTGTCGTCTAGCTCAGTGGCGTTCCCTGACTCTTTCCAAGTATGGGATAATCACAGTAGCTGACTTGATTCATTTTATAAAGAATGACAAGAAAACATTCCACGTTGGGTCTTTTGTTAAGCTCAATTTTCATTTAGAACTATGTTATTTTCTCGATTTTTTTACTGGTAACAAGCACTTGAAATATTTCACAAAATTGCAATTTCTTCATAACAGGTTTGATCGAGTACATGGTCTATTGTTGCTTAAATTCTATTTTTCTTCAGTTGATATGCCTCGTACAACCACCTTTCTTATTTTGTACTAATTAGTGTACTTTTTCATATAGCTATTTAAAAGTCGAATGCTTTCCTTGAAATAAAGAATAAATATTTTCATGAAATATCTTTTCCAGGACCGAATATTACAAGTCAATACTGTGAAGGAAGACTGGTTTAATAAGAAAACTAGCCACTTCTATTTTGACAACAGAGAAAAGTTTCATATACTTACCGGGAATAGTTTAAACCCATAGGTACTTCTTTGCAATTTCCGATGCTAGCCGGCCTTGCTTTAGGAACTTCCTAACTCTTAAATACTAATAAATCAGCAACAGATGAGATTAACTGCATTTCTACGGATTGGAGTAGTGATGTCTATCGTAAATTGTCACCAATTGCTCTCTATTGGCCTTCGCTCTTCTATCCTTTTTTCCTATTCCTTTCGATTTTCACATATTCACTACATTTTTTTAACTCAAAGTATTTTTCCCTCAAAAGTCACCCAAAAAGCCCATGTCTCGACCAAAACCCCGATTGAAACATCAGACTGCTCGGACCCCTCTCGGTGTATATATTAGGACAGAAGAATGCAACAGTGCAAGAAGGCTTTCTTCAAGAGCTCCATCAAGTCGCTCAGTCAATTCACCATATTCCGTTGTAAGTGGACTTGAAACTCCAACACGCACTGGGAGTTGTAAAACTCTTGAAGTTCCAATTACGGATGCCATCGACCTTAATAGCTCGTGAGCATTTTTTTCAATTTTTTTTTCAGTATTTAAAAGTGATACAAGATTTGAGATACCCTGAATGAAATTGCTTTATTTCTACCATCCCTCTAAATTTAGACCATTTCAATTGAAAGTAGTTGCTTGTTCTATTTTAGAGATGATGATATTGCCAGTGTGTCGCACAATAAACTGTCTTCAGAGGAACGTCTTGCCAAAGAGATCGAAGAAGACGAGTGAGTTTAGTTTGACTCTCATTTAGGAGCAATGATACACTTGTTAATGGTACTCAGAATATAAATTTTCCATCAGAGGTTTTATGATGATACGCCAATTTGCACAATGTGTCTCGAAAGATACTATCTTAATGGATTTTCTTCTCATCGTCTAAGAGAATTTTGCTAAGAGCATGTGTTAAGTGACTGGGTTATGGACTATATTTAAGCTTTTTCTATTTCTTCCATTTTACGAACATAATTAAATATGAAAAAAAACATCATATACTTCATAAAACAATCCTTTCAATCCCGTTTTATAAGTTTAATTTTTTTAGGCTAAGGTCATTTATGGATGATCAAATGGAAAATTCGATATTAAATTGGCATTTCTTTACGCCATACTAATTGGTTATCTAGAGAAATTCCAGCATTTGTCAAGATTATGAATTCAAAGTTGTAAATCGGTTTGCATCAAATCTTATTTATATATTTTTCTTTCTAACTATTAGTATTTTTACTTTTCCTCAAGAACTCCTCCACCAAAAAGGAACATCCCTCTATCGCAACTTTCCCAACAAAAAAGTAAACGAGGCTCCAAAGAGCAAGTTTTTATCTCTGCAATTTCCCAAAAGCATGCAGGGTAAGTGCGTTACATGCTTTCTAAATATCTAAATGAATGTGTGGGGGGGGAGTGGGGGTAAGCATCATAAGGACAATAAAGGTGACGGTCATGTCTCAATCCCCATTGCCTCCTCCATCAACAAGCTACACGAAGGTGAGCAAATCGCTGCTGTATCCCCCACCGGTTCGCACTCTGCGAGCGGGTGTGCCTGCATTTGCACTGATGTCTTAGCTTAGCCTTCTTCCAATTCTTCTGTAGCTGGCAAGGTGTTTGAAATATAGCCGAAGGAAGATATCTTTTGAATACTAAGATCATAGCCAGTAGCTTACAGCTGCACTACCTGAGGACGTTTGAAGCTTGCCTAACAGTACTCTTAGGTTTAAGCAAGAGCGTTCTTAGAATGTATAAATGAATAGGACCCAACGAAGAATCATACCAATGATTTGAGCTCATTGACACAATTTATTGTTAGACCTTTATATCACTGACGATTGTGCTTCCTTTTTTATTTCTTTAGAGCCTCACAATCTGAAAAAGAGACTCCTTTGTCTCATGCCTCTACTTCCAGGGTTGTGGGCCGATGTCGGAGTAAAACGGCTCCTACAGTTAAAACAACCCCGATTATTATTGAGAGAGGTGGCAAGTTTAAGTAAGAAGCTTGCATAACTAGTCTATTTAATCATTTGAAGTCATGAAATAAAAGCCGGAAAGGATTTAGTTCCCTCTTTCATTACTTCTAGTTTAGTGTTCAAACTTGCATCTACCTTTAATTTTCTGCCTAAATTATTTGTTGAAAATTAAAGAGGGTAAAGCAATTCGGATGTGGCAAATAGTTGAATTTTTTAGGCATTTATTAGTTTACTACCATTGCTTTCATTCAATGTCGTCAGTGGGCTCTCCAAATGGCATAAATGAAACTTATCTGACACCCCATTTTCGAATTGCCAACGTCGTGATTGGTTTTTATTTACTAGCATTTACGCATCTACATCTCCAGGACTAACCGATGACTTATCGTTCCAAAGGACCAATTCTTTATCGCACTCTAATAACTACCTGCATATTACTACTGATGTATTTATCTAAGTTGCTTTAATGACATTTTAAACTAATTGATAAACGTATAATCATATTTTACGTCTACTAGAAGCAAAATATAGAACTTAAACCTCGCTGTCTAATTACTTATAAATAATTTATCATTATTAGTGTACCCAAGAACAAAACGCCCCAGTCTACCTCCATGACTGAGAAAGCGAGAGAGCATAACTGGAGGAAATCACCAGCAATCACTTCAAATTCGAATCCTCTCAATGAAGTCTTTACTCGTAAAGGCGATGTTTATGATTTGGAAGAAAGCAGGTATTTTCAATAAAACAAGTCTTCTAATATCAATTAAATTTTTTGCTCCAGACAATCAATAAAAATTTTTTCTTGCGAGGCAGTAATAATAAAGCTTTTTGTACAATATTGCATTTGCTTGACGCTTGTTTTAAAATTTGGCATGGCCATAACTCTAATCCTACTAACTAGTATTCAGTAGTAGTTATCTTTGTGGCTGTTCATAAATTGGTATTAATGCTGATTTCCATATAGTGAAGAAATGTTTCCCCTTTAGTGAACTTGAGGAACCAGCTCCCAAACAACCAAACCTTGAAACCTTCGAAAAATTCGTCGAGGAAAACAAATTGGAGATGTTGCCTAAAAATCAACGTCGTCGATTACACATGGGGGATTCGAATAATGAAGCGGGTTTGGTTAAGGAAATCACCAAGGTACTTGGTAAGGAAGCTTCACTACCTCTCACTCGTAACAGAATTAGAGGAAGAAATGCTGCTCCAAGTAATGGTATGTTAAAATTGCAGTACTTATACATATAATTAATATAAAAAACGAGATTACCATTTGCCACTCAAATTATGCTTATTATGAGAATTTCGTGCAAACCTTGTCATTAATGCCCATGTAAAATATCTCAAAAAATTGTATTTCAGGGCAGTTGAGTTTCTAACCTTATTGTGTTTCTAATATCTAAAGTAGAAATTGGACATTCCTTTCGCTTTATTGCTCCATTAAGTTCTAATGAACCCTTTAGAGACTTAGTCTTGCAGACTGAGATCATGAAACTGAATTAAATTAGTTTCATTCCCTGAGGAAATGAAGATTAAAATTTTGTCAGTTACTTATCGGCATTTATTATTAATATGACTCAAAATTGTTACCCTTGAGCGTTCATTTGACAAATTCAAAGGTTCTTCATGCTATAAACGGCCAAGCAAAATAAGGTAAAAGCAATCTTACCTTGAGTTTCTTCTCTAAAGTTCTTTAAGGCCTATTGAACTTAGGTTTTGCATCAGTTATCATTTTATAAAGAAGCGATTTCAAGGGTAGAGTTAAAATTGTTTGTAAGTGACTTAATTTAAGAAATAAATTACTAGCTCACAGGTTAGATACAATATACATCTTTACCATTTTAACCTCTATAACTCCTAATAAATTGATTGTCTCCATTTAAGAATTGAACATTGTTGAGACACATGACCCTCCCCCCCCCCAGTGTTTGGTTTTTTCGAATTTTTAATTGTGTCCCTATATCTGACTAAAATAAATGAACATTGATTAATTATACTATTTCTATGAAGTACTGAAAAGGAATAAAAATGTGATTTTATTATTATTGCCTTATCAGTATATTTTATTTCTACGGCTTTCTTGCTTTCAGAAAAAGCTAGGGCTAGTAAAAATAATGGCAACGACAAGCGCATTGCAGAAGTTTCATTCAGTCTTCAGAATGATAGTCAAGATGCACTTTTGAAGCCTTCTACCACTAAGGAATTTGAGCATATTGCCAAGAATGATGAGCGACCAATCGGCTTAACTCGAAGCGGCAAGCGATTTAGTCAATCTCCAGTCAATGAAGGAGAGGGAACCTCTTCGAAGAAGGCGAAAGGAAAACCACCGACTTTGAGTGGTAGAGATAAAAGAAGATCCAGGTCTACTAGTACGAAAAATAGAAAGTCTGAAATTGCGCTAATTAATAAAGGTCAGTTTACCTGCACTTTCCTATCTTATAATCAATAGAACAGTCAATGCACGCCTCAGGCTTCATGATAACGTATCATAGGCAGTAACGGTGAAAAATTCTCTTACTTGAATATTATTATTATTGTTTTTGTTTTTGTTTCAGTCATGATAAAATGTTTAAACTTTCCTTTTCATTCTGATATTGATGGCCTCAATTACTCATCTCTTTCGTAAGACTTGAAATGTTCTCATATACGAGTTGTATAAATATTCATATAAAAGAGAGAATTTCCTGCCTGCTTTTTACTCAATATTTGTAACCACTAATGCGTGAAACAATCAGCTACCGGAACAGTATAGTAAATTTGTTTCCAAAATGAAGAGACAATGAATTTAAAATAAGTTTACGATTAGAACATGCGCAACCAATTTAGAAAAGGGTGCCATTTAAAGCAAAAAATATGAATGAGGGAAGAGTCCACTTCCACTTTATGCCACAAAAACAGTCTTACTGTATTCTTGAGTTTAGAGAAACTTGGGCTTACTTCTGCCTGCATTATATTGCATAAATAATTAGTTGAAGGATAAATTTTTAAACTGCCCATCTTCAGGCAAGAAGAAGGAAGTAGATGAGGCCAACGAAAATGAAATTTTGGCAGGCAGTACTGATATTATCCAATCACTGCGACTATCTCAAGAGAAAACACCGACACCAGCACGTGCGCAAATTGGATTTAATGCTTCACAGGAAGATCTTCTTGCTGGTGAGCATTTTTTAGTGCGCCATATCTGCATGTTTGAGTCCAGATTCAAGCAACATTTCACAAATCAGCTTTCGTAAATCCGTCCCTCAAAATATACTTTCCTTTTTTTCCAAGATCGATCTACAGTCTTAGATGAAATGCTTGATAGCAAAATATTTTAATTGTAGTATGGATGTCTCAGATTCAAAGCAAGTCGGTACATATTAAGTAGCTTAAATTGCTCAAATCTCCTTTGAGTAGGCACTCAAATGGGAGTTTCTTGATCAAATAGGCTTTCAAATATCTTCCCTCTCCATTTGATAGATTTTGGAAATATCTTGTTGAGATCTACTTAAGAATTTCTATACACAACCTACTAATCTAATTTAAATAATCTTATCTCACCCCTTGACAACAAAATGCTTCTTTTTCTGAATTTTCCTTTATTGCCATTTAGACACCTATTATATTTCCTTGATTTTTATAATGAAACCTTCATTTATGCTAAACTCGCTGTTAATAAAATTAATGCTTTCTATGCACAACTATCACTATATTTGTTTCTTACTTTTTGGACTCAAATATATATTCTTTCAATACCTCAGGCTTCACGCTATTAGGTGAAGACCATAAACCACCCGTTTGTTCTAACTTGTGAACACTTTTAATTTTGAGTAATCTATAACGCACCAGTTCAAAGAAAATTCGATTATTTAGAATTTCACCATATTTCATATGACTTTAAAATCCATAATAAAGGGATATTCTTAATGTACCTCTGACAGATCTCTGACGCCTCGACGAACTTTTAGCGGAAATTGCATATGTATCAGATTTATCTAATTATACATAGTAAAATTTGTAGGTTAGATTAAATTTAAAAAAACATCAAATTGATTTTATAATTTAAGATTTGTCACCAATCCATACGCCGAAAGATGCCCAGGCCATATCCCAATCACAAGAACAAAATCGTGTCTTAAATCAGTGCCCCTCAGCAAAGAACACAGCTTTTATTTTGGAGAGTGTCCGTTCTCTTCATCCGGGTCCCGAAAAGATTGATGCTTCTAAACTTATTTCCGAAGTTTTTCCAAAGCAAACGCCGAAAAGGGCGGCTATTGCGCCATTAGCACAGCTCCAAGAAAGACTATACTGTAAGTTTTTCCCGTAACTGATTCCATTTACCCACTTTTTAACCTGTTTTTTTTGCATTTCTGTAATACCACCTCTATTCTGAAAGCACGAATTTTGCATATTACGTCACTTTCTGCGAAAAGCTCCCTAAAGACTTGTAAGATTTTGTTTATTTTTAGACCTATAACGCTATTGAATGAGAGCGAGAAAATTCGACAAATGAAATTTTAGGTGTCTTCTAATTCCTTTATCCGCCTATTTTGGGGAAGATTTATATGCATTCAATCAACCCTTCCTTTGAGCATGTGTTGTGAATATCTACCTGATTCTTGTTTTATTAAGTATACTTACCTTTAAGAGTTAATTGAAGGCTGCATAGAACCGTGTAAAAATATTTAAGTTCATAGTCAACTACTCATAGAGCCTATCTTATGATTAGGAAGGAATTCATTATAATATGATGTTTAAAGTTAGCTCTCTACGAACGTGTTTTAACATGATTTTCAGTTCTTCGGGCAACTCCTGAGCGGGCAAGATCTTCAAATGCATCCCCCGATGTGCAGCGGCTTCCGTTCTCTGTACCGAAAATTCCCACTCCTATTATCGAAGCAGAAAAGGAGTCGTCTTCTAAAAGCATGGAAGTTTTGCCTAGGAAGTTCAAAGGCTAGTTTGAGCTTATAATATTTAAATCATTTATGTATTTTTTATGTTGAGTGAAACTTGTTAAAAAGAGGCTGTTTTGGTCGGTGTTAAAGTCATAAAATCCTGTTACCCCTTATCACCCTCTTACTATCGTGGCTACCGGACGAAAAAGGGATCTGAAGCATTTAACAAAGCATTCAGACATATCAACTGGTTACTGAGCCCTAGATACCAAGATCACAAATGAACAAAAGAAATAAAGATAGAATTCTAACATTCAGACTAAAAATTAGAACACAAAGTGCTGAGATGTACTCGACAAGTAAGAAATCTGAAACCACAATCAAAAGCTCAAATTTTGCCAAAGTCATTTGATGCTCTAGTTCTACTTTTTATGGTACTTTCCACTTCTCTTCCCGTAACCCATATCGTCCCAGTGTTCGAATGTTTGTCCACTCTTAAAAAGTTTTAACTTCACTTTATTTTTGCTTATATAAAAATCAGGTCAGTTTATTACTGAAATAGTGACCATTTCATTTGCTTTAGGTGAGGAATCACCAGTCCTCAATAATGTTTCTCACCTCCACTCTGTGGATTTGGATGATTTGGAAGTTACTCCCATTGCCAAAACCAAAACAAGTGTAAGCGACTTTTACCTATTTACTTGCAATAATTGAAACAATAAAAAGGAAGTATTTGTTTTAAATATTAAATTTAATTGTTGAGTTTGGCATTTCCATATTCTTCAACCAAGAATTTCGTTTAAAGGTCATATTATTCTCTATAGGCTTCTAGATAAAGTACTTGAGTTGAATTCTTTTAACCGTGAACAAATGGTTTACAGTATAGTTTGTTTTTAAGGATATGACTAGTCACTGGTACTCGATGTGTCCCTTTGGCTCTTCTACTTGCTTTTGTAGCAGTAATCCATTATTTTTTATTAAGCTTCTTATTAGTTTCCTTTAATGAGTTTATAGGAAGCTTGCTCTGAATAAATCTTCATTAAGGCACATCAATAAGATAAGGCATATAAATATGTGAGGAAATAAACTGTATAAGATATATTAACAATGAGAAAAGGACCAGGGAGTATAATGATTGCAAAAAGTGAAAGAAGTTGGTCATTCTCCCCATGACTGCCCAAATTCACGAAGAACAATAGTGGTTGATAACTATGTGACCTGATCTAGCCAATGTTTGTCTTCCCTATCGGTTCACTCTACTTGCACCTTAGCTTCAGTTTGGTCCAACAAGATTGTGAGCCTTTTTCCAAAGTGTCTGTGATTTGTGCTTAAATTCTTGACTGACTCGGCTTATTAATCAGCAAGTGATTTAAAGCATAATCTTTTTTTGGTGAATCTCTGCTTTTGATACTGTTTGGGCTGGTTGATCTTGCTTCACCCATGATCTCTTGCGAGTAACATTGTTATAAACTATCCACTTTTCGCCGCCAGTAACTAGGTTCTTCAGAAATGGATCATTCTCATTGCGTTTCAGTAGCGGCGAATCACAGATGCTAATCCGTAGCGTCAAATGAATTTCTTTTAACTGGTGAGGGATCCACAAATCAAGTTTCTTGACATAACCAAGGGTTTTTAATTTCTTTTTTCAATGCATGTATGCGACACATTGAGCTTCTCTGCAATATCTCGTGTTGTGCTGTGACGATTTGAATCGATAATGGCCTTG